GTAATCGCTGAATGCACTTTCTAAGTTGAAGTATGCTGAAATAGTTAAAGTTCAAATGCAGTAAGACGTTAAAGGATTTCACAGAGTCCTAATATATTTTCAGTGACAAAAACATGAAAAGATAATATTTCAAAAAGTTTATAAGCTACCAATACTAAAAGTCATAGCAGGAGTGTCTTGAATGAGCTGAACATGTTGATACCTTAATTGATGAAATAGCTTTAAAAAACAGTGGGGTGAGTTGCATGCAAAAAAAAAAAGGTACAGAAGACACAAACAGGATCTAAATAGTGATGAACGAATAATGATCTCACTGATGCCTCTTCATTACAGTACTGTAGTATAAATAATAAAAAGAATGTTACCTCATTTAAGATATGGCTAAATTGTCATTGAGTGTGTTGAAGAATGATTTTTTTCTTCAGCTAATCCATATATTTCACTGTTATCACATAGAGACCCCTTTAACATTGATAATTACCTTGTTGGACTGAGCATGGGCAGAGGAAAAGGACTGTTAGGAGTTTTAACTGCGAACAGGAAGTTGTCTCTGCAAATGCTGCCTCACAGAAACGAGGCCCCAACAAGGAAAGAGACAGTTGACTATCAGACTCAAATGAAAGTCTCCTACAAGGAATCCCCATTTCAAATGCAAAAAAACAAAACCAGTGTAACATCATGCCACCACTGCCAGAACTGGAGATGAAGAAAGGAGATACAACAATGGCTGAGCAGGAAATAAACGTGTAGGATCTGTTCACACCAACAAATGGTCAAAATAAGTCCAACAAAGAAAGATGGAGCCTCTGATGTTGACCTCTCGTTGCCATTAAAGATAAATGATCCTGCTTTCTGAACTCCTGAAGAGAGGATAGCACTGAGATGTTGATGTAAATGGGGGTGTACAATGCTTTTCTGATTTCTTTTTTGTTATTTTCATTTCTTAATACTCAGAAGAGCTTCCTGGCAGTTTCCAGTATCACACGTTGCATTAAGTTGCAAGTTAAGAGAGAAAGATCCGTCTGAGGAAAGCTTTAAGAGTTTACTTGTATCCAACTAAGTTAAGTCAGGTCCTCTGGACAGTTTCTTTTTGTTGAAAGGTGTCGTCTTTCACCCAGGAGACTTCATCAGTCCAAGGAGACAACATACTCAGTCTTATAATATTGTTTCTGCTCCTGTATATAGTATAGTGTGTTTAGTTTAGTCAGTTTTAGTGTGTTTGAGGCAAAACAATGGGAGGATTTTTTTTAAACTTAAAGCTGCAATTTCTGTTTGAGCTGGGGGTGGAGCCATGGAGTCAGAAACTTTTCAGATAAAAGAGGCAGAGCTGAAAAAGGAAAGCAAAGTCTGAAAGTGAGGGCAGTGATAAGGAAATGAGAGAGCCATTATTTGTTTTAGAAGAGGAAAGAGAGGAAGTGTACACAGGCCGCCATACTCCTGCCTGTGTCAGATCTCTGGCATGACGTCATCAGACTTCAGTAATCATCAACCTCATGCACGGGTGTTTCCTTTACTGGTTGGTTTTTAACACTTGCATTGCCCGAATGCAAAAAAATCACAATAATATTCAATGAGAGTGATTATCCATTAAAAGCACTTGGAGCTTTGTGGTGGGTGTTAGACTTTAAATGTTTTTAAATGTTTGTTTGTTTGTTTGTTAAGGATAGGTATCAGTGTGGGGGTTGGCGACTTAAAATGTTAAAATTAATAATTATCAGATTGTACAAAATAAAATAAATTAACATCTGACATTCAAAGGTGTCAGACAGGAATATTTTAAGGCCTCTACTATTCAGTGATTTTTGTTAACTTTCAAACAGCTTTGGATACTCTTAAAAAAACAACTTCTCAGATGTGACATGTGATATAACAGCGTAACAAGTCCAGGAGCATTTTCCTTCAAGTGTGTCTTTGTTAAATATGCCAACCTGAAAACAATCAAATCTGAAGCACTTTGTAAAGACTTGTTTTTCTAGAACAAGGTCAGAAATCTACATAGCTGAAAACCTTTGAGAAAGAAAATAAAACATACTGGAAAAAACTGTATCTGCGTACTCAAAATATAAATGTAGCAAAGGGTATAATTTTGTTTTATCAGTTGACCTCACATGTCTCAGTCCTCACACGTCTCCCACTTCACCAGAACAGCATGCTGGGAAAACTCAATACTACAATGCCAAGCTACCAGTTGCTAAGGAGACCTCAGGGAGAGGGAGGGTTCCTGTTGCCATGGCAGCAAGCCTGCATCCCTCCAACGGTCCTCTCTCATGAGACTTGACCATCACAGACAGATCGAGTGAGATGGGGAAGAGACATGAGGGAGGAGAAAACAGAGAGGAGAGATATCAATAATTAAAGTTCTCACCTTCATTTAAAGAATGCACATCACCTTTGAGTTGAACTAAGATCAAATTATGTGAAGAAATGACGGAGTTGTAGTCGATTTGATCAAACCTTGAAAAACAACATTATGCACCTGTAGCCGATGATTACTTTCCGAGAGTTTCTTGCACTGGTTCATGATGACACGTTTATGGAGTCGACTCCAACGATGTGCAGTGTGTTTTCAATCAATAATTTAAACACAGAAGATTAATGTTTTACAAACACACTCATTTACATATAGACATATCCACACATACAGTTAATCATAAAAGTGTAATACAAAAAAACACAAAACTTTTATGACATTCATTTGCAATAAGGATATATATTTTTTACAGTGAGGCCTATTTCAGAACTAGGGAAATGCATTATTCACAAAAGCACAATTTCAGAAAACAGCTTCCCCTGACTTGGGAAGTGTATATGGTAAGGTAAAGCTAAGTTATCACAATCTACTGACCCGAGTGATCTGACAAGTGAATAAATAGTTAACATGCCCTTTACATATTGTGGGTCAAGGCCCCACAATATGTGTTATTTGAGATATA